GGAGGAGGTTTCACCTCCAAAGAAGATTGTCTTTAAAAAGAGCTCTGAATCTCCCAAGAAGGTACCTGGATTGCCCAAGAAGATCATTAAAACTGGTGAGAATGACAGTGACACCAAGACAACAGACAGTCCAGAGGCCAAAGATTCCTCTGACTCAAAGAAAGAAAATGGAGAGAAGACACCTACTAGTTCAAGAGCTTCAGCAGAGAAGAGCAGCAGTGAGAGTAAGGAAATCCCAGCAAAGAAAGAACCATCAGTGAAGAAAGAGTCTACAGAGAGAGAAGCCAGTACCCCTAAGACTGATGCCAAAGACACCACAGACAAGAAGGAGTTTTCTGCTAAGAGAGATTCGACAGAGAGGAAGGAATCCCCTGAAAAAGACTCCATTGAGAAGAAAGAGAGAGTGGCAAAGAGAGAATCATCAGAGAGAAAGGAAACCCCAGAGAAAAAGGAAACAGGTGAGAAGAAGGAGAGTATTGCAAAGAGAGATTCATTAGAGAGGAAGGAAACTCCAGAGAAGAAAGAAACAGTCGAAAAGAAGGAGAGTCCAGTAAAGAGAGGGTCAATGGAGAGGAAGGCAAGCCCAGCAAAGAGAGATTCTCTAGAGAAGAAAGGGACTATAGAGAAGAACAAATCAGTTGAAAAGAGAGACACACCAGAGAGTAGAGAGAGCCCCTTGAAGAAGAAGTCTCCCTTGAAGAAGGAAACACCTGAGAGGAAAGGCAGTCCAGCAAGGAAAACCCCACCAGCCAAGACAGAAAAGGAGGTGACAGAGAGCAAAGAGTCCTCAGATGTAAAGGCTGCAACAACCAAGGAAGCTGAAGGGAAGGAGGACATTGCTACGAAAGAAATTTCCAAAGAGAATGCTGAAGCCACTACAATTATAGATTCTCCCAAAGAAACAGCTCCAGATTCTCCCAAAGAAGAAGCTCAAGATAAGAGTGAGAGTGAAGACACTAAGGAACTGGCCAAGACAGAAGCATCTCCTGAACCAGAGCCTTCAACAAGGGTAAAGGAACCTAGCAGTGTCATAGAGATAACTAGAGCTTCCTCAAGTTCCTCAAGAAGCAGCAAGTCCCCATTGTCCGAGTATGTGGAGGGAGCAAAAGCCATTAGTGCAGAAGCGTCAAGTGGATCTGTGGACAAAGTTCTCACAAGTGAATCAGACAGTTGTGCAGAGGGTGCTAGTGCCACCCCATGTAGTAATGACTCTAAGCCTCGTGCTGACTCTTTATTAGACTCTGACTCAGAGCTGAGTAATGTGAGTGTGTTTGTTATAGTGCGTGACATGAGTAGCTTAACTGCGAGAGTCAACAAAGAAACGATTGTAACACCTGCCACATCAACATGTGGCGAGCTTATGCAGGAGGTAGGACGACGGTTCAAGTATGAGCCAGATTCCTTTTCTCTCATCCTGCAATGCTCCAATGGTGACCAGGTGAGTAGGCTTCTAATGGTCAAGTGATTGGCCAATTGATTATAATTTGTTCATTTTATGGTCTTCATAGTAAATATGATTATTATGCTTCATAGTTCACTCTTTTTTGTTCTCATCAAAATAGCGTGATAACACAAAGGTTGATAATAGAACAAGTTAATGTGATGAATTATTTAGAATGCATTTTGCATATACTAGATGTTATGCATCATTAAATTTTATTGTAAAAGGCTAGCAAATTTAAGGAATTTGAATATTTGCCTATCTATTTTGTACTTTTGGAAAATATTTTTTTAACATACCGTGATATATGTGATTTTCCCTTTTTCTTTCTTCTTTTTCCCTGTTTACCAGAGGATATGGAATTTCATTTGCTAACATGTTACTTGATTAAACAATTTACTCACTTAATAACAAAAGTAAACAACAAAACTTGTTCAATCATTCCAGGTTGAGATTGACAAAATGGAGGCAGAGCGCACACTAGCAGATGCAAGATTTCAGGTGGAGGGCACCCCACGTAACAACCTGATTCTGTGTGACCTGGGTGGACACCCTCCCCGACGGACGGATGAGGATGATCTTAGTCTCGGAGCCTCAGCCTCCCCTACAGCTAGTGCTAGTGAGAAAAAGTGGTTTGATAGGAGTAGTACGTATAGCAACACACCTGAATATTCTTACTCTGCAGCTCTCATTAAACACGAGACAGGTGAGTGCTGGTAGACCCTCCTTCACACACTCTTTACCTTTTTCTCTCAAAATTTCCTTATTATTTTCATTTCTCTCTTTCTTTCTCTTTCTCTCTCCTCGTCTCTCTCTCTCTCTCTCTCTCTCTCTCTCTCTCTCTCTCTCTCTCTCTCTCTCTCTCTCTCCTCTCTCTCTTCTCTCTCTCTCTCTCTCTCTCTCTCTCTTCTCTCTCTTCTCCTCTCTTCTTTCTCTCTCTCTCTCTCTCTCTCTCTCTCTCTCTCTCCTCTCTCTCTCTTCTTCTCTCTCTTTCTCTCTCTCTCTCTCTCTCTCTCTCTCTCTCTCTCTCCTCTCTCTCTCTCTCTCTCCTCTCTCTCTCTCACTCTCTCTCTTCTCTCTCTCTCTCTCTCTCTCTCTCCCTTCTCTCTCTCTCTCTCTCTCTCTCTCTCTCTCTCTCTCTTTCTCTCTCTCTCTCTCTCTCTCTCTCTCTCCCTCTCTCTCTCTCTCCTTCCTCTCTCCTCTCTCTCTCTCTCTCTCTCTCTCCTCTCTCTCTCTCCCCTCTCCCTCTCTCTTCCCTCTCTCTTCTCTCCCTTTCTCCTCTCTCTCTCCTCCTCTCTCTCTTCTCTCTCTCCTCTCCCTCTCTCTCTTCTCTCTGCTATCTCTCTCTCTCTCCAGTTACTCTCTCTCTCTCCTCTCCTTCCTCTCTCATCTCTCTCTCCTGTTCTCTCTCTGTCTCTCCTTCTCTCTCTCTCTCTTTCTGCTCTCCTTCTCTCTCTCTC